AAAAAAACAAAAGGCTCCAGGAATTGATGGAATACCCATAGAGATGTTTCAACAAACAGATGCTCTGCTGGAGGCACTCACTCAGCTATGCCAAGAGATTTGGAAGATAATATGGCAAACTGACTGGAAGAGATCCATACCTGTACCCATTCCAAAGAAAGGTGATGACGCAGAATGTGGAAATTATCTAACAATATCACTAATGTCATGTGCAAGTAAAATCTTACTGAAGATAATTAAAAAACAGTTGCAGCAGTATATTGACAGAGAACTTCCAGAAATGCAAGCTGGACTCAGAAGAAGATGCGGAATGAGGGATATCATTGCTGATATCAGATGGCTCTTGGCTGAAAGCAAACAATACCGGAAAGATGTTTACTTCTGTTTTATTGACTATGCAAAAGCATTCAATTGTGTCGATCATAACAAATTATGCATAACATTATGAAGAATAGGAATTACAGAATATTTAATTATCCTCACAAGGAACCTGTACATAGACCAGGAGGCTCTCATTCAAACAGTCAAGGGGATACTACATGGTTTAAAATCAGGAAGGGAGTGTGTCAGGGTTGTATCCTTTCACCATACTTATTCAATCTTTATGCTGAGCAAATAATCTGAGAAGCAGGACGATATGAAGAAGACTGTGGCATCAGGATTGAGGAAGACTTCATTAACAACCTGTGATATGCAGATGACACAACTTTGCTTGCTGAAAGTGATGATGACTTGAAGCACTTACTGATGAAGATTAAAGACTACAGTCTGCAGTATGGATTACATCTCAACATAATGAAAATGAAAATCCTCACAACTGGACCAATAAGCAGCATCACAATAAATGGAGAAAAGACTGAAGTTGTCAAAGATTTCGTATTACTGAGTTCCACAGTCAGCTCCAATGGAATCAGCAGTCAAGACATCAGACCATGTATTGCATTGGGCAAATCTGCTGCAAGAGACCTCTTTAAAGTGCTGAAGAGCAAAGATGTCTCTTTGAAGACTAAGGTGTGCCTAACCCAAGCCAGTGGTATTTTCAATCACCTCATATGCATATGAGAGTTTGACAATGAATAAGGAAGTCTGAAGAAGAGTCGATGCTTTTGAGTTGTGATGTTGGTGAAGAATACTGAAAGTACCATGGACTGCCAAAAGAACTAACAAATCTGTCCTGGACGAAGTACAACTAGAATGCTCCTTAGAAGCAAGAATGGCCAGACTTTGTCTGACCTATTCCTACTTTGACCATGTTGTCAGAAGGGACCAGTCCCTGCAGAAGGGTATCATGCTTGGTAAAGTAGAGGGTTAAGAAAAAAGAGGAAGGTTCTGAAAGAGATGGACTGATACAGTGGCTGCAATGATGGGCTCAGGTATAGAAACCATTGTGAGGCTGGCACAGGACTGAGCAATTTTGTTCTGTTGTATATAGGGTCACTATGAGTTGGACCTGACTCAACAGCACCTAACAACAAAAACAACAAGTTCCTTCAAACATTCTTCATAAACTTTCCCAGGCATCATAATATATAAAAACAAATGTACTCTGGGAGGGAGCAAGAGAGAGTTGATGAGAGGGAGAGCACAAGCAAGAGTGAGAAATACCAGTAAATGAGTGGTATAAGCATATTCATTTACTGTTTGCTTCAATTTGCCAACATCATCCCCATTTTCTAAACATAGACAAGAAAAATGGAAATGGAAGTTATTCATCTTCCAAATCTTTCAAAAATAACATGTAAGAATGATCACAAGACATTACTGGAAGGAGGATGATACAAATGGAAGCACATGTAGAAGATTAAAAGGAAGGTCCTATCAGGGAGGTAAGGTGGGAAATATAGTAGATAAGTGGCCAAGAGTCAAAATATTAATGTATCTCACCATTGAAGACAAAATATGCTTACTACTTTTTAAAACATAGTTCAATTATCATACTATTTTTTAAAAAAAAAAAAAAAAAACCTTTTAAATATAACTAATTAAAGTAAACAATTTCAGAGAAAACTTTTGGCTCTTCCAAAGATTCCATGTTTGTATCCTTCACTGTCATCACTAGGAAACAAGAGGGAAGGGAGGGAGAGAGGGGGAAAGGAAGGAAGACAGAGGAGAAAAAGAAAAGAATCCTGTGCGTACCCTTTCTACCAGCACCTCCAGAGGT